TGTAGTAAATCCAATATTAAATCCTTACCTACGAACAAATTACTACTTCACTTATAAGAGCTATATGCCCAGGGCTGAGGAGGACTTACAACTAATCACTGCCAGAGATTACATAAATTGCTCATGTAATATCAAGACGTGTTCTCAAGTGAACCTCATACTTAGACTGAACAAATAAAATATCCCATAAGATTGATAATGGAGATATAAAAATAATAAGTGAATTAACCAGGCTACTCCAACTTGCAAACCAGACTGAAGCTATTGTACTTGCGAGAAAAGGACAGATCAACAAGGTCTTGTGTGGATTACTGCAACGTGAATGAAGTCACAAAATGGAATCCTACCCACGGCCAAGGACTGCCTCTACTCTACAAGCTATATCTGGATAAAAATGGTTTACAACATTGGAACTTAGGAGTGTATATTGACTAGTGTAAGCCGACAAAGCAAGTATAGGGAAGACGGCTTTTACCATGAGAAATAGATTGTCACAATTCTTTTGTGTTACCAATTTGATTATGTAACGCTCCTGATACATTTCTACTGTTAAGTTTTTCCACATAGGGTCGGTTGATGTGATAGACCTTGTAAATCACAAAATATCATCAGAGTTTCCATACTATAGCTTTTTAATATATTTTGAGTATCTTCACTAAATTTTGCAAATTTTCAGTTAAAGATTAAAAGTCTTTTACTAAAGATTCGTATGTGAATGTATGAAATCACAATGTTGACTGCTTTGAGTGCAAAGTTATTTCCATATTACAATTAAAAATGCTTTTTGTTCCTCTGAACATTTTCAAATTTCATTCATGTAGCCTCTAAAAATCTCCCAAATAAATATCAAACGTTTTTGAAGTAAAACTTTATGTTTTCCCTATTATTTTTTCTCTCTCTTTATATGGACTCAGTAAATTTGAACAACCTTGTAACCACTATAAAAAATACGAAATATATCTAAATTACCCTTTTTCCTCAATCAAGACCACTATTACTGTCTCATGTTAGATCATGATGAAGGTATCTGGTTATATGTGAGGACTAACTACCTCAAGTTGATAAAGCTATCATTCTTGAAATACAGCTAGTAACTTAATCTTACATGAATTTACTGATATGAATCTCTGGGATACACAAGAGAAAGATGAATTAATTCAAGAGTTATCAGATTTTCTCTGTAAATCTTCTATATATGATGAGGCCAAAATGTATGAGAGAATGTAATTTTATATTCACTTACTACTGAGTGTATAATATATCAACATTCTGAATGAGGATAACGTGTATATGTTTATTATATTAATTCACAACAATGATCTGGCTATTTAGACTGCAGTCAATGATCAATCCATGAAAGGAACATTTGCATCAAAACGATTTTCAACAAAATTATGAGCAGATATATATTCTGATATATTCTTGTCAGAGTTGAATTTTTTTAACAATTTGCATTTTGACACATGTTTATAATGGTGACAAGCATAATATATACAACACTGTCTGCACACAGATGAATAATGTCTTGCAGTACTTTTATATTATAAGTCCACATTCTACAGTTCTGTTTGGTGAATCTTTTAATGATGGGATTACGTGAAGGCAAATCTAATGGATTAAAATATTCTCATTTCAACCAAAGTAGATAGAGGCCCAGTGAAATCCCGGTTTATGACTCGGATTCAGGTTGATGATGTAAAACAGTTTGTCTGCATAGTCAGGTATTTGATCACTGGCAAGTTTTTTCGTGTACACGCATTTTGTAAGAGTATTGAATAAATCTCTATAGTGTTCATAGCTTCTTACAAATCAGTTATGATATTTCTAGACTGATGAATTTCTAAAATGAAATATAATTCAGCATTGGTGAGAACATTTATAGTGTTCAGTAAGACTCTATCAAAACGTAATTATATCCGTAAATGTCCATGTTTTACCAAATTAAAGTGTGAATTTACATCAGGTAGCTCGAGTGTAAGACCAAAGACAAAAAATGTATATTCTCAAGAGTATTCATCATATCCTATATCAATTCCTTGATCTTGGAATTGTTTTCCTGTTCTACTAAATAATGTTTCATAGCTTCGTGTATACAATTCAACATCAAAATCTGGTTGTAAAGGTAGAGCGGGAATCTATTTTCCATCCACGTTGAGTGACACAAAATTTATATTGTAATATTTGAAGTTGAACGGGTTTTTCTTTCAAGATCCGTTAAATGCATCGTTATCAACACATCCTATAACAAGACGTGTAGGCACTTGACCTAGAAATTCATTATCAATAGATGCTTGTGTGTTTCCCCGAGAAATTTAAAACGATTTGCACTCTAAATACATCAAAGAATATTTAGCCATTACTTTCTGAAAGGCCTTAACATGCGACAGAATGACTGATTGACTGGTTCTGACTTTCCTAACGTAGATAGAAACATGTTGTAGAGCAACCTTTAATCCGGATTCTTCACTTGACATAATACAAAATGCCTCTTTACTTCATATTAAACGAAGTTTTAAACGTACACCACTGGGCAAGAAATTATTTTGCAAAAAGATGTCTAAATGTAGATGGCCAGTCACGTTGACGATCTGGCTACCACATATATCTACCTGTCAGTCTTTGCCTCCATCATTCTCACCATTATCAAAGTCAAGATTGTAAAAACTACTCGCTGTGTCCTTTGCCCACATAGCTTCTCCACTATAACTCAGTAGAGTTTATATATATTATTTATAGGCATAAATATTGTGAGATGATGAAATGTGTTTGTCATTCAGATGTACACCATATTGAGAATATAGAGAAAGAAGAAACAGATTGACAAGCACAGACTTACCTTCGTCTTTATTTATGCCGGTTTTATCAATTTTAGTAATCTTTGCTTTCACATAAAGATATGTTTTTGCTGGATCTAGGTATTCATCTCCATATGAAAAGCTCAGTGGGTCCTTTGTCAGTTACTGATGATAGAGGATAATATTCCATCTAATGGCCTTCCTTGAACATGATTTGTGTGTGAGGGAGAGAAAATAAGTCTAGCTCAGATTTTGGTCATTTACAAGATTTTTCAGGGTGTAGAAGGGAAATGATTATTTGTCTCAACTTTTTTAAAATTTTATTTACCTTGTACGTCTTAAAAAGGTAAACTATAATTTACTTCTATTTTGTAATTGAACTTAAGAGAAATTCCCAAACTACTTAGATAATAGCAAACTGGTAAAGCTTCTTTACCATGTCGCCATATCATGAAAGTGTCACCAACATATCTAATTCAGATTTCTGGTGTCAAACTTACTTAATTAAAGCTGCACTTTCAGTTTCAGATTTATTAATGTACAAATCACACAATATCGATAATAATGGAGATTCCATAGTCAAACCTTTCTTCTATCTGTAGTATTTATTATTGACCTGATTTTTTTTTAACACAGCTTAAACCATGTTATCCAGAAAACCAGTGATTGAGTAACTGTTCTGAGAGATTGAACCTGTTAGATAACATTAATATGTTGATGATATCCTCGTTATACATAAAGAAACAGAGCAAGTTAATTCATTATTGAAATATGTGTATAAACAACATCCTTGTATTAAATTTACAATTGAAGAAAACAACTCAAACTTGTATTTTCTTAGATATTAATTAATAACTCTGGAGATCATTTTGAAATAGGAACGTATCATAAACCATTTTAATAGTATTATACTTCGTATATATAAGCATACGTTGAAAATTATTTTATTCTTTAGAGTTTATTACATCGCCAGTAACTATCATTATTTTCATAAAGAAATAGAAGGTGTAAAAATCTCTTGTAAAAATGGTTTTCATCCTTCATTATTCAGTAATATTTTAAAATGTTTCCTAAATGGAGTGTACGCCCCTCGTAAAGTGAGTTTTGATGTATCTAAGTTATTATTTCATGTCAGTCTGACATTTATGGTAAAAGCAATTATATGCTAAGAAATCAAATAAAAAATATTTACAAGATATATACTTATACAAATTCAATACACTTAGATTGTTTAACGATATAATACGCTTGATGTGGACAAAGTTCAACCCCATATCATTTAAAACAGCATGTAAAAGAGCATCTGAATTCCATTTGTCTACTTCTGTTAGTTTTTCATGATGTCAGAACAAACGAAAGTCTGGATATTAATAAATCCAAACATGAATTATATTTAAACTCATCAGCAATAGAAATTCTTCTAAAAAGGTAAGTTAATTTAGTTTATTTAAATTATGAGAGATACGAGATATCGAAAGATGTGATATGCAAACATATCTGTTTTAGTGATATGGGAATTTAAAAAATCATTCATTATTTCATTTTCAAGCTGTAATGATGGTAAAACATGAATCAGAAAGTCGTTACAATTGCTTTATTCCAGTTGCTTTGTTTCTCTGGTCTTTATAGTAGCTAATCTCTATTTTGCCCTAAAGGATTTTGTAGTAAAATATATCATCTGGATTGAAAGGATTAGCATTGTAATATCCTCTGTCGGCTCAATGCTATGAGAAAACAAAGGTAATGAGATGATGTTGTCTACTGGACAAAGAAAGCAAATGTACCTATAAAATTCAGGCATGCTTTCTTCAGCAAGCTCGACTAGGAAATTGTCGAGTAAATACTTACTTTAAGATCAAATAACAAAGTTTGTTTTCATTTTTACCAACATTGTCCAGTTTCATTATTTTATGTGCACACTAGGAAGACTTGGTTAAGTAATCGAATTCAGAATCTCTCCTTATTTTATGAATGAATTTGAAGTTATTAATTAATCTGTTTATTTGATACTTGCCGAGAAATTGGTAGTCCTTGTTTGAAAAAACCAAATTAGCTAGGAAGGGGAAATTTTGGTGCTGTCACATTAGGGGTTATTGTGGAATTTCTGAAATGACAATGCAATAACTAGCTTTTGCTTGATATCTTGAGTTTAAAGGAATATTACGTATGAAAAAAGAGAAATTTTATGGATGTAGAAGTACTCACGACCTAGAGAGAAAGTTTGCTGGTGGAGAGAAATTGTTGTACACGATACATGTACATAAGGCTTTTGCTGATGTTGCGAAGGTCCATGACAGTCCATCAATCAGCCTGTAACCACTAACTTAAGAAAATCTGCTCATATTTGGTGAGCCCAGACCACTATAACAAATGGTAAATCTGAAAGATCAATCCCAGAGGAAGGGAAATGCAGATTACTGAGGTTCACTGGCGTCATGTAGGGTGTTTCTACCAAACTCTTAGGTAGTCACCAGTTTCAGCACAGCAGCCTCAGTTTTGGTCAAGACCATCAGTAACTATTGGACAGGAGCTGGAAATTTAAAACAAACAAACTATATTAGAAAAAAAAACGTCTTCTTATAAACTTAATGTATAATAAATGAAACAATCAATAACCTTTAAACGGCCGAAAGAGTTTTCTAAAAGAAAGGATATCGCAAATCTTCTAAACTTAAAAGAAATGATTATCTTGGTAATTTTCTCTGAAGACCTTTTTTGTTGTTGCTGAAAAATTAGGTACCTCAAAGATCAGAGAAAAATGAAAGTCGTGAGTTTGCATTTCACACGTTAATAATCAATTGCCCTCTGGGGTCTCAGGAAGTTCAGTGTATATCTTTGTGCTTAACAATAAATATAATATGTTCAAACAAAGCTTATGTATTGATAGTTGTTGAGGTTTCACACTGAATCTGCATTCTGAACCAGTTTCAATGGCTGTTATAAGCAAATATACTGATGTCATACAAAGTCGCCTTAAGTACTATGTATTCATGAATACTTAATACCACTATAAATAATTTTCTTAAAACGAAAAACAAATAGCTTGACATACGATAGGGAAACAATTTCTCTATCAATACAGACCCTCATAAACATTACATGTAAAACAAAGTTTTAGTTATTTCATGTGCTTTTCTTTTCTTATGCATAAATGACATAAAAATCAAAGACAATATAAATTCGATTTCGTCATTAAGAAGCTAAGGTTTGTAAATATTGAGAAATGGTGGTTTTACAAATTACTTTTTAACAATTTATACTGTTACGTATTAAAATCACAAATGGTCTGAAACCGAGTTAAATGATACTTTAAATTTAGTAGTTAGTTTGTACTTTGGATTTAGTAGTTAAATTAAAGCCGATATATAGTCAGTCTATGATA